AATGATTTTTTTATACTATTTGTAAAAAAAAATTATTGTAATTTTATTAGCGTAATAAGAAAATTTATTACGATTATTCAAAAAAAATTTAATATCGCACAATAAATCCATATTTTTAATCTGGTGACTGCAAAGTCTTTTGTGTATCAATAATGCATTTTCCATTCGAACAATAATGCCAAATTTTTTGGCATCATTCTTTCTTTTTCTTTTATTCATAGGTTTTTCTTTTTTCATTTTTGTCTTCTTCATATGTTTAGATACTTTTGTTAAATTTTTTGTTGTTAGTAATGATTATTTCTTTGAGAGATTTTTTTTAGTATTATATTGAAGTTAAACTTATTCTTGTAATTATATTTTTTATTAGATTTAATATGTATTTTTAACTAATACAATAACAAACTAAACAAATATTAGTTGCATAATTAAATTAAACAAAAAAAATTGCTAACACAACTCCGCACAAACTGTGTGGAGATCTGTACGGACAATCTGGATATTCTGTGCGGAGAGTCCGCACAATTTATGTGGATTGTGCGGACACTCTGCACAATTTGTACAGATTGTGTGGACATTTTGCACAATCTGTGCGGAATGTACGCACGGTCCGTACACTTTGTGCGGAGTAACTCCGCACTTTGTGGGAGCAACTCCACACTTTGCTCCCACGAAGTGCGGAGCAATTTTTTTTTTTAAGCATTCACTATAAAATTAGCAAAACTAAATATTCGGTATTCTAACAAAAATGAATTCACTAAATTAACATCAAAAATCACACTAAAGCAATACTTTCTCGGCATTCCAACAAAAATGAATTTATCAAATTAACGTCAATTTACCAAACTAAGATCAGACAATACTTTTTAGGAAAATAAATAATTATACAGCCTAAACAAGAAACACATCCACACACAACCGATAATTGTTTTAGCATATTTTTTCACCAGAATATTTAACTATGTTACTTATTTGACTAACCACCGAGATAACATCAATGAGCTAAAGCAAGTCGAAGTCGAATTGTTTACTGGTAGGTTGGTTTTAAATTTGTGGTTTTACAACTGAAATCCTGTGCGTGGATAGTTTATGTTCTGAGAATATTTCACCACTAAAAGTCAAAGAATTTTGACATATAATCACAAACAAGAAATATACGCTATTTACCTTTTAACAACAGAAATGAAAATAAAAAAATCAAATATCATTAAAAATTCAAAATTAGAACTCACCAACTTAAATGACTAAAAACATGGGTTTTTTTTCCCAACCCAAGCGATTCATTAGAGCATATTTTGCCATAGTTCTTGTCTTGCCTCCTAAAATAAAATAAAATCATTAATCTTTCGACAATGATTAAAACGGAATGATAATACCCCTCTAAAAAAATCTTGTAGACGTAGAACCACACAGTCAAATGGAACCAACATTCGTTCAATTTATAACAAAAATCTATATTTAATTACCAAAGGCAAAAACAAATAAAGAAATATAATTAATTCAACTTTGCAACAAACTCACTCTGGTGGAAAGGAAAATATGTATTTTTTATACAACTTGGAACAAAATCTAAATCAATTCCATAAAAAAATACGAAGAAAATACTACTAACTATTACAATCAGCAAATTTTTTTTTAAAAAGAAAATGGAGTAGAAAGAGATATTTAAATTCATACATCTCTTCAAATGCCTTGAGTAAATCAATCAATGGTCGAAAGAAAAATTTGCATTTTTTATACAACTTGGAACGAAATCTAAATCAATTCCATAAAAAAAAATACGAAGAAAACACTATTAACCATTATAGCTAGCAATTTTTTTTCCTAGAAGAAAAGGAAATAAAAAGAAATATTTAAATTCATACACAAAGAAATATTTAAATTCATACACATCTTCAACTGCCTTGAGTAAACCAATCAATAGAAATTGTTGTACTTGAAAATAAGGAGTATGGTTGCCTAGTATGGTCGTCGAAAATAAGGAGCAAAAACCGGGAATGGTTGCCTAGTATGGTCGTTGAAAATAAGGAGCAAAAATCGGAATGGACGTGAAGAGAAAGAAAGAAGGAAAAAAGGAACTTCAACAGAAAAGATATAGACAAAAATGACCTCATTTTATTCTCTCTTGTACAGTAAATTGGGATTCATTTACTGTTTCATCAACAGTGGAACTCGTTGAGCTTTTGAAGAGAAGTCATATTAACGGTCAAATTGGTCAAATTGGATGGTTTCCGTCCATTTTGACCTCTTCTACGAATTTATGAACGGTTTGGGACTTGGATGGTACAAAGTGAATGTTAGAGTAAAGTTTGCAAAAAATTCAAAAGTTTGGGATCGCTGTTGCAATTTCCCTATTTTTAATGGCATTTAAGTACAATTTTAATTGAAAACCATAAACTCAAATATTAATAAAAAATTTAGGACAAGTAAAGAAAATTCATAACGAGAATCAAGTTCTTGTTCTTGCCCTCATTTGAAGTGGGACAACGCTGGAAGGGCAGGTTGAGAAAATTTGTCTTCCTTGATGAAGGATAACATTATAGCATAAAATGGAATTGAGTTTTTTTACGCTACCTAGCCAACTCCACATTATGTGCTTAGTATGCAAAAGACATAGACATGGTTGATTTGCTAGAGATGTGGTGCATTTAGCTAACAAGTGTCACAAAAATTTAGGATAGTACAAAATTTTTCGGACTCATAAATACTTTTAGTGGTTGTACTACATGTATATAATTTTTTACATATATAGGATGTGGTGAGATATATCTGGATAAGAATTTATTCAACAAAAAAAAAAACTTTTCCACTCCCTTTTTGATACCTCGTCTATATATAAATCATTATGTAACTTTTTGTATAGAAGTAGCATTATTCTACTTGCAATGCTCTATTTTTTCAAAAGATCTCAAATTCATATTCATGTTGATAACATGTGATACATTTATCAAGAAAACTATTTTTTTGGAAGTGGAGATAATGTCAATATTTTCATTTCTAACCACTTTGAAGTAGCCTTTATTATCCATTTGCATATCTTGTTTATCATCCGACTTGCACATGCATCATATAATCTACCAATAACTTTTCTTTTGATAGCATTGATTTTGCTCGCGGTAGTCACAATGTTATCTTCATCAACGAAGTTTAAGCTTTATTTGTCTACCATATTATTTTTTTTACAATACTAATTTTCCACCACACATTATTTATTAAAATAATATTACACATAAACCAAAATCTTTTCCTTCTTTTTTAATCACACAATTCAATATCAATTACTATTTCATAATATATTATTCCCAAATAATGGGGCACAAACACCCCTTTATTTTGCCTCATTCTTGTTTTATTTTCGATGTCAACAATTTTTTACACAATGTTCGAATTTACCACACCCAAAACATTCTCCCATGGGCTTCTTCTTAGGCTTTTAGTAGTTCTTATTAGAAGATTTCCTTTTCTTTGATTTGTCGGATGGCTCGATCTTTTCCACGTCATTGACTTTTGAAGTGCCTTCATAAAAGTTTTCGCTCTTATCTCTCGTCCTCAATTCTTCCTCAATCCATAGATTTTTTGAATTTATTCTAAAGAAATTTTTTTGAAATTATGAGGAATCTTCTTTCGATATCATTTCCAAGTTTTTTCGGAGTTTTGCAATGATTGCTCCCATTTGAAGGAATTTCGAAAGTTCTATTTTGACCTCCCTCTATTTGTTGACAATCATTTATATAATTCATGCACGTAGGGGCATATTCTCCAAAAAATTGAATTTGAATTACCTTGATATTGAGAATCATTTCTCAACTTTGTATTTGTTCTTCAATGCATTTTAAATCTCTTTCAGCGGAAGTAGTGCTGGTGTAGAGATTGTATAATCAGTTGGATAGTACGTTTAAAATATGACCACGACAAATCAATCCATCCTCTTGGCCGTTTTGTCTTTCAGTCCTTATCGGATCAAAATTTTCATCTATTAGCTCTGCTAGTGGTGTTGTCCAAATCAAGAATGTAGAATATCTTCACGCTGTTAATAGAAACTTCAATTTGTCTTGTTAGCGAGTTATGTTCATTCCATCAAATCGATTTAACCTTACAAGGTCTTAATTCATGAGTTTGATAGTAGTATAGGATGGTATCAATTATCGTGGTATAGGATGGTACCCACGAAATAAGCATTACTAAGAACGCGTAATAATTATATATCACGACAAATGCATAATCCATAAATCAATTGAGGGACCACGCAAGTATTTCTTTATAAGACAAAAGCATCGCCACCATTCTTCTTGTTTTCATCTAAGAGATGCCGCGTGATCATGTCATCTCTCAACTAAACATTATTCATCTAATAAAGGCTTATAGCCCTGTTTGTTTTCCATTTTGGTAAAAATGAGAATGAAAAATATAGTTGTTATGAGCCCACATAAGAGATAGATTTTCAAATTTGTTGGATTGATGTGATGAATAACGGTCATATTTTTTCATTTTAATAAGGAAAGAATAGAAAACAAACATGGCTAAATATTATTTAATGTATTAATCGATGTTAAACTTCCTTATACTGTGAAGATATCACAGGATTTTTTTATATTCAGTGGTAAACTATGCCGAAAGATAGACGATATTAAAAATAGTTATTTATCATTAAAATAATCTAACTCTTATTGAATTTTTGTTATGGATGTGTGAAGTATACCTAGGATATCCATATGTTTAATGACGTATAACCATGTTGTCTTCTTTTAACTATAAATAAAAATCGATGAAATGTGCGAATAAAAAGTAAAGTTGTGAATTCACAAAATGTGTAATTAAAAAATAAATTTAGGGAAAAAAGAAATCTTAAAATTGGGGCCAAACACTGTTTAGTTATGGATTAAGTACGCATACAGAAGAAAACACCAAGAAAAATTCCAAAACTTGATGTTAAACCACGAGAATCCCAGATTTCTTAAGTAAAGAAGAGGACCCCATGTCTCAATTTATGCCCTCACGAAAAGGTAAGTAGGAGTAAAAGTCATGGCCGACTTGCAAAGTATAATTAAACAAATCAAGTTCAAACCACCCTTTTCGCTAATCTCCTTTTGAAATATTAACCATTTTCCCACAGATACAAAGCCTTGCATTTATTGCTACAAATTTCACATTTTCCACACTTCAAATTAAAGATTCTTGATACTTTCTCGTGCCCACTTCACGGAACCTACCATGATTGAGCTACCTTGCTGGCAAAGAATTTCCCGAGAGGATAAATAGAAGGAGAATCGAATCAATTTTAGATAGTCCTTTGTGAGCGTTGCAAAGAAAATAAAGGGTAGGGAATTATGGAAAATGAAGAGGAGAAAGTATATGTAGTCATTGGAAGAGACCTTTATGATGGGCTATCAACCCTGCAGTGGGCCTTGAACAAATGGTCTAATCATTCAATCAGCATAGTGATTCTTCAAGCGGCAAATAACATAAGCAAAGATTATGTATACACACCTCGTACGTCATTTTCTATATTTTCTTGGCAAATTTGATATGATTTTATATTTATGCAACTTCTCTGGTTTTAAAAATGCAGTTGGGAAACTTCCTGCAAGTTCTGTGAATGAGGAGAAGCTGAAAGATCTTGACAAGAGCGAGGAAGTAAATAATGACAAAATATTATCCCAGTTTATAGCCTCCTGTGGAAGGGTTGGATTAAATTCATAATAATCATGTTTTTCACATGTTCTTGGAATAGATGGTTTGCAGTAATTCATTTTCGGGTTTTTACTTTGTTCACAGATTAAAGCTCAAGTTTTTAAGATGGAGAAAAGTGAGCAGCCTATTTACAGGCAATTGCTAGAAATAATTTCGAGTCGATGGATAACCAAATTAGTCGTGTCATTAACAGTTATGAAGTCCTCAGCATGGTATGTAGGCATATAGAATTGTTAGTTTTCGGCATAATATTTGGTGATTTTTTTTTCCTCTGATTGTATTTGATAGGAAATCAAGAACTGCAATTAGTGGTTCATTTTATGTTCTTCGTCAGAAACCCGATTTTTGTGAGCTGTTTGTTATATGTGGAGGGAGATTGCTTTCGTTGAGAGAAGAAAATAAGGGAGGATTTATAGAGGATGATAGAGGAAACGCAGTTGCCAAGTTCACGGAGAAGAATGGTTTTAGAAGTTTGCTAGGAAGAAGACATTCTCTGGATTCACCTTCTTCTTCTGCACGAAGCAATAATTCACCAGATGAATGGGAAAAATACAGTGACGGGATTGAACAATATGTTAATCAACTGTTGGCTTTAAATGAAGAGGAAGAGGAAGAAGAAGAAGAAGAAGATGCAAATTGTAAAGAAAATTCTGCAGATTCAGTTATGCAGGAAAATATGGTAACGTTTTAACTTCTTTAAGCAAATCCATCTGTTTTTTTTATTTGGCTTCACTGCGTTTTGAAGACTGATTCTTTTGGCAGAGTGGAGCAGAAAGAATTGAAGCTCTTAAAATCAAAATACAAAGAGTTGAAGATGCAATCCAATTCAACAGAAAAGAAGCAAACGTGAATAAGGAAAGGAACGCAAAAGCCTTAGGGGCTATTAGTCTATGTAATACCCGGGTAAATTATCCTTTCCGACTCCTAAGTGGAGCATTATTTGTGATTCCTGTCATTCAGTAGCTTTTTTTCAATAGGCTATGGAACTTGAAGCTTGCATAAGTGAAGAGGTCCTAAAAAATGTTGATATAAAGAAAGAACTAGACTTCAGAAAAGATGAGCTCTTTGAACTTCAGGGTGAAGTTGGGGAAAAAAGAAGTAAGCTGAACTCAATTCTAGAACTCCAACGAGAACTCAAGAACAAACTTCAATTATCCTCTTCTGCTAAATCACGTGCTGAGGTTCAACTAGAGAAGGCAGTGCGAACAAGAAATGATATGGTTCGAGAAATTGAGGAGTTGAGAAGGCAAAGAGATGTTATCCAACGTAGAATTGAGTTCCGTAGAGAAAAAGATGCAATAGGTTGTGCTGACAGATTGAACACCTCAAGTTTTGCTTACAGAGAATTCACTGCTGTCGAAATTAGAGCAGCTACTAAAGATTTCTCAGAGGGTTTAAGATTAAAGCCACGTGGTCGATTGACAAATATTTATAAAGGTTGCATAAATCATATGACAGTTGCAATTAAAATGTACGGTTCAGCAAATGCTCCATCCCCTGAAGCCTTCGCAGCTAAGGTATTGCTCAAGGACTAGTGGCATTATAATATGTACTGTTTCATTCAGCTTATCTCCTTCCAATTAAGCTTTTCTTAGCATCTTAAAGGATAATTGAATGATCTCATTTCCGCCTTTATTAATTCTATCAGAACATTTGCTGCGCTCTATATGCTATGAGATAGATGAAAATCAGTGCTTGAGTCCTATTTGCTCTATGAATGCTGATGTTACAAAACTTTCCGAAGGAGAAACAAAATTTAGCCTTACCAATTTTGGTGGAAGATTAATATTAACCTTACTATCGCAGGTAAAAATACTTAGCCAAATCAGGCATCCGAATATCCTTGCCATGGTCGGATTCTGCTCAGAGCTCAACTGCATTGTTTTCGAGTACATGCATAATGGCTGCCTGCATGATGCATTATTCTTAACCGAAAAAAGCTCCAGAGATTATAAAAACAAGGCTCACAATTGGCACGCGAGATTAAGAATTGCAGCTGAAGTGTGCTCTGCCTTGGGCTTCCTTCATAAGGCCCAGCCCAAGCCATTAATTCATGGCAACTTGAGTCCCTCCAAAATCATCCTGGACCAAAACAATGTCGCGAAAGTTTTTGGCTTGAAGCCTCCTTGGCCATATGATAATTCAGATAGTAAATCAGACATCCGGGCTTTTGGAAACTTAATGCTGCAACTTCTGATTGGTAGGAACTGGGCAGCGCCAATGGAAATCGCTGCTATCCTTGGGAACTTGGATCATTTGGCCGGGGAATGGCCATTGGATTTGGCAATGGAACTTTGTACCATAGCTATAAGGTGTTTGTCAAACAACCAAGGCGAAGATGAGGAGTTGGATATCGGATGGTTGATGAGAGAGATCAATAAGGTGAAGAAAAAGGCAAACCAGCTAGTTGTAAATGGAGAATACACGTCTGCAATCAAAGAGTTTATAGATATAGAGAACTCGAGCAATGTGCCTAATGCTTTCCTTTGTCCCATTTATCAGGTTATTACAGTCTTTATCGCGTTCTCTAATAAATTTACATGAAAGAAAACAAAAATACAAAATGCTTTATATTGGTCAATATGATTTTCTACGCGAGATACCTTCAAGATTTTTATTTTTGGAACTATCTACATTATGCAGGATGTCATGCAAAACCCACATCTAGCTGCTGACGGGTTTTCCTACGAACTAGATGCCATAGATATGTGGCTAAGAACGGGCCATGATACATCACCGATGACTAACTTGAGGCTAAATCATACGCTCCTTACACCTAATCACACGCTGCGTTCCCTGATACAGGATTGGCAGAATCGAAGATCAGCTCCCCCTAAGTGAAGATCATGTCACCATGTTTGGATGCATGGGAATGAAACAGCAGAATTGGGAATATAGCATAAATTCATTCGAATTTGAGTTGATTATACACGAACTCCATTTCCTAGGCTTTAGTTTTGATTTTGGCTGAGGTAGTTTGAGTAGGAATAGGTTGTTGTGCATATTGAAAAAATTGAGAATGTAAATAGGTTAAAAGAGAGTGCAAATTATAGAGCTCCATTTGCAAAACTTCTGAGTATATTTCAAAATAATATTAGTCTAGTTTTTGTTTCTGTTTGGTATTAAATGTCCTAACATGGGTTTTGTGTATCATAAACTTTTAATTGTTGAAACTCGACATCAAGAGAAAAAAATATAATAAAGAGCATGTGATTACACCTTTTTTAATTTATACAATTTACCATTGAAGATGATAAGATTGTGTAAAAAAATGATATGTGCACATTGTGGAGGTCGAATATGATGGAGATGAGACCTTGTCGAATCACTTGATAGTTAGGTCAAGACACTCAACAAAGACCATTTGAAGTTGTACTTTATTTTTGTCAAACTTTCAAACTGTGGAGGGGAGCACTTTGCTTTATGGTTAATTTTTTGCACTATATAATTACATATTATGAGCATTTTCCTCAAATTTTAGTAGGACAGATGATCCTACCATAGATCTGCCTCTAGATCGAGTATAAATGGGATTAGTTCGCCACGAGATGATCATTGATTGAGTCTAACCAAAATTATAACATAAATAAAGAGCGTCAAAATTAGATCTTACAAATATCCCTTGGATCAATATGTAACTCGGCCCTATTAATAAATTATATGTTCATCCAACATGGTCATATTACAATTTATAAACTATTTTGTCACTTTTTATCATTTAAATTGATGGTGCAATAATAATGAAAATCAACTTGCTACTTGAATACTTAGATTTAAGGTCGTTGTACATATCATCTTACTGTTTGATTGAATATAAAATTATTATGTTGCATTATATTATTGATAAAAAATATTTATTATAAAGTTTACTTAACAATAGTAAGTTGATAAAAGCTTCTATATATATAAAAAAAAAATTGTGGTCGAAAAATAAATAAAAGTTATAATTTAAATAAATATATAATGGAAAATGAAAAATGAAAAATTTTTAAGAAGCAAAATCTCGACCAATTGAGCATCTACCCAAACACGAATGCGTAATTAAAACGCCGTGAAATAGCGTCTTGTACACTTCGCTCTTGGCACAAACCAGGCTAGCTAGACCAATTCTCTCTGCATCAAATTGAAGGAAGAAATGGTAACATCACCTCTCTGCGTGTGTGAACTCTGCATAGATTTGAGATATATAGTGATATGAGGGCTCAATTTTAATTACGTTACTTAGGGCTTTATCTCTTCCAATTTTTTGGTGCTCTACACTGTTCTTTTTTAGCCTTTTATTTTTAGTTTCTCTAAGATTATTAATTCTCAATTGTTTTGCAAGTCTGTAAAGAATTTTAATAAGGGAATGTTGAAAATCGCCGATAATCAAATTCCATGTGCCTGGAAAATTCAAGCGGGTTAATTTTTTTTTTTTTTTTTTATTTGACATTTTATGACCCTTTACAATGAGCATGGACTGTCTGCGTGTAAAGCTTCAAAATTTATTGTATTTTGACAAATTATACGGTATATATTTTGCTCTTTAAGTTTATTAATTTGAGTGTAAATGATATGAGTTCCTAGATTCCATCACGAGCTTCTTTGCAATGTATTCTGAAGACAAAATAAGCCAATCAGAAGTTTTTACTTAAAGCTGGTCTATGACTCTTGGATTCCAGTCCAAGCTTGAGCAACCTCTTACTTAGATAATTAGTTTTATTATGAATTTTTGTAAAGGGTTTATGGTATATTATTAGCATATTTTTGTATTTTTATATTCTTTTGAATTCTTTATTGTTCTATATTGAGACATAGGCCCCTACCTCTCAAAGATAAATGCCTTTGTACACGATTAAGCCTTTTTAAGCATGACTTTTCGATCTGCTTATAAATAGTTATGTAACCAAATTCGTTATACGATGATAAAAGAGCATTAGAGTGTTATTTTTATTTTGGAGTGGAAATTGAGCTCAGAAGAGTGTGACATGTTAATTATTGGTTTTGTTCTTCTTAATTTTACTGTATTCCAGGCTGACCCAGAATTGGAAGCGATTAGGCAAAGAAGAATGCAGGAGCTAATGGCTCAACGTGGCATGGTGACTGACCGTTTGCTTACATGAGTGTGCTATTACTTAAATAATCTTTAGGTTTTACTAATAGTTTTGAATATAGGGAAGTCAGCAAAACTCTGAACAGCAGAAAGCCCAGGAGGAAGCTAAGAGGTTAATCTCTTTCTTAGTCTAATTTTAATATTAGCTTGTTGAAATTCTTGTTTGCTGAGCATATATTGGCCACTTTTTGGTGATCTGAACGATGAAAATTATTGAATTAGGGAGGCGGAGGAGCAGAGACAAATGATGCTTAGTCAGATTCTCACATCTGAAGCACGAGCAAGAGGTAAGTTGAACGACGCACTGAACACGTAATAATGGCATGATGAGAGAATTCAACCTATTTATGATTGTAACATGTTTGTTTTATGTAAACAATGTGGCTGGGGAAGGATGAGGGTCTGGCTGTTTTGCTTTGAAGCAGTTTGGCTGCTGTGCTTGGAGGGATTGATGGTGTTGAAGTAAGGCAATGGTAAAGGTAGGGTATGAATAGTCTGAATTAGGTGTGAATGACTTAGGATGGACGAGGCTGTCAAAACAATGACTGGCAGGGGATGGGGATGGCATAGAAACCGATCCTTATGGGGTGGGTTAGGTCGGAACTTGTGATTTTTTTGTTGTCATCTTCAAAAATGAGGATTACTAACTCACTAATAAACAACTAGACTTTCCACAACCCCGGGAAGCTGCTAATATAAATAGGAATATTATTCTTATATCATCTTTTCCTATAGACTGTTGAATCTTAGGGAAAAATTGAGAAAGTAGAGGAAAATCATCTCTTATTCAGGTGGGTTGTGTGCTTAGGGCTGTCTGAGAGGTTATAACTGTAATGTGTGTTGTCTAACCTACAAATCCACTACTTAGTTGAGCTAACCCACCTACTTTAAAGAAACACGTTAGTGCAAATGAGTTCCTAATACCTTAAGCAGGTACTTGTAAGCTAAACAAATATCTCACCTCTATCCATTATGGGATCTCATATCCTCCCTCATTTATTGCTGGGTGACTTTAGGATTTTTAGTGATTGTTCTTTGGGTTCAAGATATGGTCCTATGTGCTCAGATCCTGTTGTGTTTTATCCCACATAGGATTTAATTTCCAACAATTTGGCTTGAAAACTGTTTTGGTACAGTCGTATCTTAGCCCTTTGCTCTAAGAAGAAGTCCAACCGAAACATGTGCTCTTATGCTCACAAGACACCAATTAGTGAAGTTATTATCCAAAAAGAATCAATTGATACAAATCTTGAGGTACATATAAAGCTAAACAATACCAATAAATTATTAAAGCTAATGCATTTAGCGAGTCAAAAAAATTTCAATCTCTAGAAGATAATTCCCAATCTAGTGCCACATGAAGGATCCAAGGAAGCGAGCACCCATGTTAGTGTTTTTGACCTTCGACCATGAACAAGGAAACACAGAAACAAAAGAAATCCGGTAAGAGAAGCATTGATTGCTCTCCCAAGCTATTTTTATTTTCTTGTTTCTTTTAGTTGTTTGAAATGGCTCATTCTCTTTTGACCCCCACTTTGATGGTTGCAGTGGTCCAACTTGATTGGGCTGTCTCGCTGATTCCATGGCATGGCCATGGTTAGCCCAGTTTTTGTCCTCTTTTGTACAGCCCATGGAAGGTCAGATTTGGTCACCCTCAAGGCCTTCAGTCCATGGTAGGGCATTGAGGGATTATTAATAAAAACTCCACCTTATGTTTAGTTTTTAAAAAGAAAAAGAAAATGAAAGGAAAAAAAAAAAAAAACCTATTCTAACAATGTCGGAACTCAAACTCTAGGTACGTGGATACCACCAGATGAGATTGAGACCTATCCCTTGTATAGGGTTCCAAACCTGCACTTCTCTGAATATTCCATAAAGGCCTGTTTGCTTATTTTATGTTTGTGTACCTTAAATTCTTGTGCATTTCCCTTCCCATTTCCTGTAAATGCAAAAAAAAATAAAAATAAAAAAAAGTTGGGCAAGATAAAAGAAAGAAAAGTATGAAGTTGCGAGTCAAGGATCTCTTGTCGCTGGTCACCTCCTACTGAAAAGTTGCAACTTCCTTTGGGAGTAAACCGCACTTCAATTGTAGGAGGCTAGGGCACTCTTGCTTCGCTTGTTCTCTTCTCTGAGATTCTTTTTTCCCTTTCAAATTTTCATGTTGGGTTGTTTTTAACTTAGTCCAAAATGCTGAAAACATTTTAGACTGTAGAAAACAGCCCATGAGGACAAGACAAATGAGTTCATATTTTAGCTGCCATGAAGCCTATGCTTAGATGTTGCACCTCAATAAGTCAAGGCATATAATGAAGTCCTCATGCGAGGCACGCCGTGCTCAGTTGCTTCTGAATCAAAGTGTTGCGGTTGTTGTCCTATAATATTCCCTTTTACCTAGCAAGAGTTCATGGATCACACACAAGTCTTGATACACTCCTGTACTTAAACCAGTTGCTTTAGCCATTTGAATAATATTTTCAGCAATGTCTTCTGTCATTCTTGAGCCTAACAATGCAAAGGCCTGTTAGGTATTTCATGACATCCAATATCCAACTCATCTTTTCGAGTACTTGATAATTGACTAATAATGCTAATGCTTTCTACACATCCCACCCCGACCAGGTCTAAAAAGATCAAAAGTAAACAAAACTATTCACCGAATTCTAATCACCTGTTTGGGTCCTCTGTGTCTGTCTCTTCTTGTGGTACAGAAGGTGACGCCAGGGTAGTGTTAGGGATGCTGTTTGCAGCAGGCATTATTACATTCATTTATAATGTTTCGTTTTCTCTAATTGCATAAGCATGTGTTTTTATCTAATCTATCCATTTATGTTTGTATATAGTTGCTCGAATTGCACTGGTAAAACCTGAGAAGGCCAGAGGGGTTGAGGATGTTATTCTGAGAGGTGCACGAGTGGGTCAGATAACTGAGAAGGTAGCTCTTAAATGTTCTGATGCTCGTCTATATAAGGTTGTGCATGTGCTGTGTCTCATTAGTCTGCTCGAACTAACAGCACATTGCTATGATGGTTCATCTGTAGGTTTCTGAGGAGAGGCTCATATCATTGCTTGAACAAATCAACACCCAAACTACTAAAGAAACCAAAGTAACAGTAAGTTGTTTGTATGTTCATTTTTTTTTTCCAGTGGCTGTTTTCTGCATGAATTTAGTAATTATTATGTTGCACGTTTTAATTTGTGCATCTGTCGATTCTCAGATTCAGAGGCGTCGGAGTGTTCTTGATGATGATTAGCCTATTTCAACTTTCTGCCTCGTACTTGTGGAGTGCTTCAAAATTGTGGAGAGAGGTAGCTCTAATTGAACGTGGAATTTTTATTTTCTACTACTTAAATGCCCCCTCCTCTTTTAATATAAACAACATTTTAAAGACACCAATTACCCAGTCTGCTTTTCATAAAAGTTGAAATGAGAAAAATGGATCAAGTAACAGTATTTTAATAATTATTTGATAACTTCTCCCGTCCACCATTAATGAGTTCAGTTCAGTATCTGTCTATGCTCCGATGAAGCCGAGCCTGCAACCCAAAGGCTTGTAATATGCATGCCTGGATTAAAGGGCTAAATATATTCACACCACAATTATTAATAATTAAACTACATTTTAATTGCACAAAAAGTTTATAACCTTATACATATTATCATATTTATGTTCCAAACTCTTATCATCACATTTTTATCTCTCCAAACTTTTCTTTGAGATAGAGTAAGAAGGCGCATTTGGCTATTATATTTTTGGATAAGCAACACAAATAATAATTCAAAAATATGAATAAATATTTGACCATCATTTTAAAGTGAGTAAATAATATTTTTGAATCAAAATTATGATTGATGACAAGATATTTTGATCAACGAAATGTTAAAATAAGAATGTGGTGAAAAGAAATTTAAGGATGTAAGTGTGATGATGAATAAAGATTAATGATTTTTAATGTAATTAAAATGTGGCATTACATATATATATATATACATAAACTTAAGAATTGAATCAGTTTTCTTGTACATCAAATAGAGTAAATGGAAAATCGGAACGAATAAAGCAAAAATGAGAATAACAGTTTGGCTCCATAAGCACCAATGTTATGATATGCAATTTCAAAGACAAATCCTCAAGAAGTGTTTCAAAACATTCTAAGAAATAAATTCGTAATAAATTTTGTCTAATACTGCGTCATGCCAAAGAAGCTGAAATGGCTGGCGCTTGCCTGCGAAGCAAAGCTGAGAGCCAGGGCACGAGTTGGTCTGCAGTTAATCTTATATTTTTCTATATGCTTGACATCCAAAACTCTACTACCTCTAGTCTTGTAAAATATGAAAAATGAACAGAATTTAGTATAAAAATGGATGGCTGTGACTGGCCGAAGAAACAAGACAAGTCAGCGGGAGTTGAAGATATCACGTTGGCACACTGGTTATCGTGACTTGGAATCTTCTATTGGGATGCATACAGGCTAAAATAGAATGCTTCTGATTCTTTAGTTTTGTCCCAAAGATAAATGACCTCAAAGGAATTCGATTACGGCTGGCTGACTTCGTTTGTGGTTCATCACCCAAATACCAAACTCGTCATTTAATTTTCTTCGTGACTTTTCATTTTCAAGTTCAAGTGTACTTAAATGATCTAAACCTGCTTGTAGTTCTTCTCTTACCTGGCGGTTTTCTTGTTTCATGTTCAAAATCTCACCTTGGAACTTTGCAGCTTGGTGACTGCTAAATCTGATTTCTTCTTCAGCCCCTTCTTTCAAAGCTTTTGTGATTTCCTCTTGAATGTTGCACACAGACTCAAACCTGCAGTTTAGTTAGTCTTTCAGGGAGTTACTTTTTTCCAGCCACACTGTTAGTTCTGTCTGTATCTCCCTCAGGTGCTTGTATATTGGCCGGGCTGCAGATTTCTGGTCTGTTTTAAGACTTCCCTCTTGTTTCTTTTTCTCTCTCATTTTATTTATTTCATCCTGTAAATCTCGAACTTCAGTCTTGAATTTCTGGATCTGATGATACAAAGTGCTAAATCTTAACCAGAAATCTAATTTCTCGTCTAGTATTTCATCAAATATCCATCCGGAGCTTTTCTTCAACAACTGACATGGTGGGAGTTTTATAATTGAAAACCAACTACTTTTCGTCCTTTTTGTTACTTTCATCTTCATTCACTTCCAAATGCTCACTTACATCTCGATCTTCTAAAGATTTAGACAGCGGACTGTTGCCTTCTTTGATATCCTTATTTTCCTCAAAATTTCCTTGGCTCAATCTTTGGCATAGAATTCGAATTTCTTCATCCTTCTTCACAATAGCATTCTTTAGTTCTCTAATTTGCACTGTCGTGTCAAATTGGCTGTCCCTGTCTTTTCTCCATATCTCTAGGCTTCGTCTTGACATCCCTGTAATTCCTGAGAATTATCGTATATTCTTTCAGCAAAATCTTCTCTTTATCCCTGAGCTCACTTGAGAGCATTTGCGGCCAGTTTACTTCATCTTCTTTCTCCATGTTTCCATGCGATGATTCACTAACAAGCTCAATTGTATGTTCCATGGAAATTTTATCTTGTGGTAATTGATCCACAATAATTTGACAGATTTTATAGTTTCAGATACCTAGCCTTTCTTTTCCTCATCCTTTCCAGCTTTCTCATCATGTGATTTTGAAGCAGGATGATTTCGTCCTTGTCACACGAAATTGGTACATCCTTTTGATCTCTGACCTCTTCTTGCAACTCAGATTTCAACAACAGACTTTGCCTCGTCTACTAATGAAGTAATATCTGGTTCTTCATCTGGCTTCACGCTATTCAGTTTCTCAGACAGGTGATGGAGACTAGAAGAAGCCTGTGCAAAAGTTGTTTGGAGATTTCTGTTTTGATCTTCCACATTCTCATTTAGATCCTCAATGATTTGTAACTTTTTCCTCCATTTCCTTCACCTTGTTGCTCAGATTATGTGTGCCTCTATCAGAGCCCGCTTTTTATCTTCCAAATTCTGAATCTGTGCATGGAGATCATCGGCTTCTTCTCTCAATCTGTTTATAAGAACAGTTTGAGACGACACTGCAGTTTCTAGGGCAATCACCATTGACTAGCTCGTCAAGTAAGAGACGACATGGAGCTTAAATCGAACTGTTCCTTAAATTTTTCTTGTGATGCCTCAATTTTTTGTATCCCCTGTATCACGTCACACATTTCTTTAGTCGAGATTCGGGATTCATCTCCTACCTTTGCAGATGTATCATTTTCAGTGGCCTTCCGTTCATCAATTTGATCATGAAGATGCTCATGCTTGAGGGACTTCAATTGTTTACGAGCCTCTTCTATCTTCTTGCATTCTTCTCTTGCTTCTGGGTCGACCTTTCTTGTTTTTCCTGCAACTGAGACAAGGTTTCTTGGCACGATTTTATTGCTGCTTCAGCCATCAAAGTCCGAGCCTCATCATCCTCGATGACTCTATCTACGTGAAATTCATCTTGCAATCTGCTAACCTTTTCTTGCATTTCCCCAATCTGATTCTCAATTCCCCAGTACTTCGAGATCCCATTCTCATAAGAGCTCTTCACAAACTCTTTAACAGTTTGCAATACAGAATAACTTTCTGAAGCTTGTCAATTTCTTCAAGAGCTTCACTTTTGCTCAAACCAGATTTTGCAACAACTTTATTAGTTTCTCCCCTTTTTGAATTCTTCTTGGCTTGCAATTTCTTTGAAGCTGTTGTTATTGGAACTTTCAAATCTTTCTTTGGTGCCTTAGGAACATTTGGAACATTGGCCATACTCATTGCAGGGATTTGAGGTTTTTCGGGTTTTCTTGGGGTGCCACATTCTTCATCATCATCCATTCCTAATTGCACCTGTTCTGAGGATACAGTAGCAATCGTAGCGTTAGCATTTTGCAATTCTTTCAATAAATGATCATAACGATCAGGTAAGGCTCGAAAAGCTTGATGACATTCCTCTACGAAGTTTATCAGCTCTGGCCTCTTCTTGTAGTACATTTCTGCCCTTAGCTAAGGAGTCTCCATCCTCCTAAATAAGCTTTAGCGCATTTTGCACATCCTCTTCCATATCTCAACTAAGCAAATCTTGTGTTAAAAAGAAACAAGAATTTGTAGGGTTGTTTTGATAAAGATGGTGCAATATAAACAAATAAATTCAATTTCTCTCGAAAATTAAGCTAATGTAATTCAACGTGCTATCAATGCAGCAAAAATCTTGAATACGATAATCTCGGTGTCATCCGATTGTGAAAATACCACGTGTAATGTCTTCAATGACACAAGGCATATTAATGATATTTTAACGATGGGACCTGCTACACAAATAGGGGCTGATGTGTCAGCCCCTCAACCTCAACTCCTAATATGAAATTTCAGCTCTTGTTTGAGCAGCATAATTCTTTAACGATGGAAAAACAAATTTAAGAATGTGCAATATAAAAGAATCTTTCCGTCGATTTGTGATCATATTTTTAAATTAATATACCTTGTGGGTTTACAATAAATGCGTGGGATTTTACATACCTTGAAGGGTCTGTTCGAGCCATTTGCATCGCTTAGTCCTGATGTGGGCAGCCCACCACCATGAACAAGCATTGCTTGCAGATCTCTGCAACAAATTTTTTTTTTTTTTTTTCCCTAATCTTATTTCAGCCCTAAAGAGAAAACCCTATCCCTCCAGTAAAATTCACATGGCATTTATCAAAATTTGAGGAGAAGAAAGTGTTCCAAAATGAGGAAAATTTTCAATATTTTGTTTTTCTTTGGGAAGCAACATGAAACTACTGTGGGGGCACCAATGATATGGGATCATGGTTGAGAGCCTATTTAGCACCAAAATCAATGTTGGGGCCTTTTCAATATCTTTTACAAAGCCAACCAATCGGGATATACTATGTCAACGTGGCATCTGTTGCTTTAAACAGCCTGGCAATCACCTTAAAATAAATAAATAAATACTTTGGAGCGAAAATTTAATTATGGTCCCCAGTCTATAGCTAGTGTAGCAATGTCATCCTCAATTTTTAGAAGTCACCAAGTTTACGTTTAAAATTTTTATAATAGTCGTGCAATCAATCCCAAAATTGTGAAATGTCTAAATCCAATTAAATCGTTTTGTAACGCTCACGTGTCTAATTTAATGAAGCTATATTTTCTTTTCCAAATTAGGTTTGTGTTTAAAAAATTGAAGTTATTTTTCTCCAACATTACATAATAGGTTAGATTCTCCTAAAAGGGGGAAAAAATCACATTGTTTGCCTTGAGAGTTTGTTCCTTTCTTTGTTCACATAACATGTTCGTCCTTAACTTCTAAAAAGAAGTAAATTTTAGCCTTTAATCCTTTATTTTAATTTCACGATCAGACTACAACATGAAAAACTGTTTAAGTCTTTATTAAATTGTTAAGTAATCCTTACATGTTCACCTTCACAAAGTTGTACTTTGTTCTCCAACTTGAGGTCAATAGTTGAAAGGAAAAGTCTTGTGGACTCCATCCCATGTGAGGGGTGCTGATAACCTTATGTACATAAATTATGTACATCAAGTACAACTCTAGTTGAAAATGTGAAGTGACGTTTGGATTCTCCTTGAAGGAGCAAATTTCACATCATTTGCTTTTGAAATTTGACCCTTCTTTGACAAACTTTTAAAAGTAAATTGCACCATCAAACCTGAAATTATTGTTCAAGTAGGAAGTTAAATTTTAACTTATTTATTTTTTATAGTAGCATAATTAATTGTCACACTTCTCTTAAAAAAGTGTCTTGCTTCAAAGTTTTTGAGTACCACTGCAAGTTGGGAAGCAACTTTTATTATCATAAAGTTAGTTATGTGAGGATCACGATGTAATTTAGCAAGGTATTTGACTGTTTTTATCATTAGGGATTTTAGTGTATAAGTATAATAAAAGGTTGGAATTAAGTTGTTTTGTTTTAAAAGTTGGGGATCAACTTGTGATTGAAGCAATAGATTGATGACCAACTGTACAATTTTCTCACCTTTGAAAGATACGTACTTTTTTCTTAGGATTTTATATTAGAAATTCTTTGCCACACCAAGCATTCATATATGGAGCATGCTACATAAAAAAGGAGCATGGCAGACCCCTCTGACAGGGTTGAGGTGGACCACCTCAGCCCTTGATCTGACATTCCACCTCAACCTTGATCTGAAATTTTAAACTTCATATCACAAGGGCCTTTCAAAGGTCCCTGTTTGTGCAGCAAAATTCTTCATATATGTCTCGTGGCGAGTGGAATGTGTCTCTAATATATATGTGCTTTCGCATTTTCTTTGTAGTAAATTGACAATGGTCCAAATAAATGCTTGCTTTTTAGAACGTGACGTAAAAATATGTACTTTCACATTTCCTTAATAAATCAATAAAGGTTTGAAAAAATATGTGCATTTTAGAATGTGATTTTCTCGATATATCATTCTGTCATATCTGCTAAACAATTGTTATTTAAGAAACGATCTTTCCTATTGAGAGAAACTATCCTCCAAAAGTCTCGAGTTACCTAATTATGTCAATTTTGTGTTTTTTTTTTATCTTTTTTTTTTATAATCTTTTTTATCTTATGGAAATATCATCATGCTCTTGAATTACCACCTGATATTTAGAATTATCACATTGTTTCCAACAAGTGTGGAGGGAAATTCCCATTTCTACTCTAATCGATATGTTTGATAAAAGCATCAAATAGTAATACACAATATTTTTCTTTTAAAAAAAAGTTAAAATCTTATTTCAATTAGTGTTCGATTGTATTCAGTAATTCGTGTCAAACACGAATTATAGGTAGCATAAAATATTTAAGTTTTTGTTTGGTATGAATTTTGATAATTGATTTTTTTTACCGTTAAGATAAAGTGAGTTCTACTTGTGGGAGAAAAATTCAAAAATGAAAGTTGAAATAGTGAAATAAAAATCAAAAAACTTTATTTTAATTGAATTAAAACCTCTACTGAACATGCTCTAAGGACCAACATAGTCGGCCTTTGAATACGTTTTAAAACTCCAATAATTAAAAGACCAATGACTCATCTGTCACCTGTCATCTTTATTGGCTGATCATAACATAATACAGTACAATAGATAATGATAAGTAAGGGACAGTAGGCAATATGCACCATGTCTTTGAAATTTTTATCAACATATGGATCAATAGGCTAGGATTGAACCAGATGTAATTAGGGAACATTGGTTTCTAATTCAGAATTGACCGACATGGACTCAAAGGACACGTGTTATAGTGATTGTGAAAACTACGCACTAATGAGCCATAAAATTATCTCTGCACGTAAATTTATCTATTTATTCGTTCAATTTCAATACAATCTATCATCTTAAACGTGTTATAAATGTATACAATCTTTGCTAAAGTGGAAATATAAATAATGAGATACTAAGATAAAAGTTATAGAATATGTCTCCGCAAAGATAATAGCCACAGACACTAATAAGAGACCCTTCCAATTGCAACCTCAAATAAGGCAGTGGGGTCTTAGACTAATACCATAATTGACAACAAGAAAAGAAATCTTGAAAGGCCAATAGGGAGTACCAAAGCGGCTTTTCTTAATCACTTTTTATCAACTTATAGAAGAACCACATGCTCTTTAACACTTTAGGAATAACCGACTTCGCTTAGGTAAACATAAGAATTTTAGTAAATTTTGATAAAAATTGATGAAACGCGTGATTAGAAACTTGATAAAAATTGTGAATCCCATAAAATGTACGGTTTAAAATGAGTTTGAGGAAATTAAGTTTTAAAAAATGGGATCCAAACAGATCAAAGGTTGCATTTTCCTTACAACAGCAATGTATTCAATTCCATTTCCAGGTCATTGGTCTGCTACATGGCTATTAACCACTTCACTTAAGAACGTAACAAAGAAAACGAGCTTCTTTATTAAACCGTGCAAACCAAGTTCATATATTTCACCAAGAAACATGCAAAATTTTATGGCAACAAAACTCAAACTCAATGATGTTTGTCTGATCTATTACAACACTGAACTAGGCAAGCATCTTTTTCAGTGATTACCTGGTTATTGCCAAAGAGCAGCAATGCAGTTTCTCTCGATAATTTCCAAGTTAAAACAGATTTATCACCTCAAGAAAGGAGCAGGTAATTCTAGCAAAGGCTCCAATATTATGTACAATCCAAAGGACGACAGATTACAACGACAGTAAAGCATTTATGCACAAGATGAACAGCTTTTTGTGATCGACTAATTACGGAAAAGCAGAAAGTGCTAACAATAGCAGCAAGTTGGAAGCATACACATTTTAAACATATTCACATTGATTGTATATACACTAAGCAATCAGTTCAATATTAAAGTCTCCAAGAGAAGTGGTCAACACACATCTAACACAAAACATGAAGAACAAAACATAATGCAGTGTTCTACAGAAAGATTACAGTTCTAGCCGTTGTCATGAAATCGAAGCTTTGACACAGTCTCCTCCTACTTGGAGCCATACTTGGATGTTATAACTAGTAGAGTTATGGCTTTTGGTTCTTTTGGTTCCATGGTAACACAGTGCAGCAGTAATCATGTTCAGAGACACCGCAGCTTCACATATTTTGGAGAGAGGAAAGCCACTCTTCCACAGAATTCTTGCCCTCTACAAAAACTAAAAATAATAAATAAAAAGGTAAACTGCAAGTGAAGCTCAGATTCTATAGGTGTCACTCCTGCTTAAGACGATATTTACTTTGTCAAGAGAGAAGAAATAAATTATATTGCCACTCATGGTCTATCGAATTAAATCGACAAAGAACATGCTAAAAAGCCCATTTAAATTTCAATCTAAGCAGTGCAATATGTCAAAGTTGACCCAATAAAAAGGCCGATGGCTTCAAAAAGACAAATAAAAGGTTACATATATAAAAAATTGTGGCCCTTTCTCCTGGTTCCATCTGCCGGTTTGGAAATGAACATTTAAGCCTCAAATAAAACCATTGTTTCAGGGGCACAAGGGAAGAGAAATCTTCAAGCTTAAATTATATAAACCATTGTTTCAGGGGCACAAGGGAAGAGAAATCTTCAAGCTTAAATTATATAAACCATCAAAACACTTTTCCTGCTATTTTCTATTTATCCAATAATGGACATGGCACAAGAAAAGTGCATACATATCAGCATATTACTATCTAATGGACCCATCCAACAATGAGTAATAACAAATTCTATCTTCGAACAAGATCTCACCCCTGCCAAGGAACATACGCCAAAGCTGATGTCCCTGACTTCTACAATGCAAAATCTAGTGGCTAGTGCATATGCCATAAGAACTAACAGAACAGATTTAGTTGTATTTTAAATCTCTGACAGCAAATTTTTAATTTCATTGATGTATACAAGCTCAGTACAGAATGTTTCTTCTTAAAGATATCTTCTAATTTACTTATGTTACCATACATGGTAAGAATACTTGATAAATCTAAGTGACCCAACAGAGAGACATTGTAAAAGCATAAAATTGAAGGACATAAGCACACCATTCGAAAAATGCATTTCCTATATACAGCTCAGCTCTTACCAGCAGAGTAATCATTTGGAAAGTTCTTAATAGCACTAAAGAACTGTTTATTAGGCACCTCCAGCCCCTCTAATTCCTTGCAGTCATGCCTGTAGCAGGGGACTAACACAGCAAAACTGTCATCGGCATCAACATCACCAAGGAAATCGGAAGAATGTGGTTCAAGCCAGCCAATTGACCAATCCGAATCATCAGATTCAGAACCGGACAAACAAACCCCATCTGATGGCACCAACACCACATCATACTCCTTGTCAATCCTCCTCTCCTCCCTACTTTTCCATTTCCTTCTCACTTTTCTAGTCGAACTTGAAGAGGGCATTCTTCTATCAGCCCCGTTCACTGAGTAAAATTTCAAACTTTCAGATTCTCCTCTCAAACCCCAATCACCCAAAGTATTTATTGGATTCGCCGATGAACCATAAGAGACCTGCTCTTTCTCTTTACCTCCCAACCACCACAATGAAAATCTAGTGAAAGAAAGAGCCATTGTTCTCCCTTTTTTTCTTTTTCAATAAAATAAAGTCAATAGTAATATATGGTTAAGTAGAATCAAAGAATTGAAGCAGAAAGAATTAAACTTCAAGAAATTGTGAATCAATCCAATCCGAGACTCAAAAGTAGAATCAAACAGCAACTAAATCAAGAAACCCCAAAACAATTGAATTTGAATATGATAAAGTAACGCTAAATGATTGAACAAAGTCCCTTAACATAACCCATTACGTAAAAATTATCGCGATAATTTCTAAAATTATATTAATTAACTTCACTTCACTTCACTTCACAGAACATGTCGTCATTATGACGGGCATAATTCAATTACTGCCAATAATTAGTGTGGAAATCACTAAACTTCATTAATACACTTCCCCAATGACCACACGCTCAAACAATTAAAAATAATTTAATCTCCTGGGCGAATTTTAAGAGAATAACGAAAGAGGAGGCTACTAATTGACCTTTTTGTCCTCATATCAACCACCCATAAAGTCATAAAGATTGCGAATTTATGAAGTTTAGAAGAAAAGGAAACGACAAGACCACCGGAAAACCCAATATTTTACCGGAATTTTAATAGACAAACGTCTATTTCGCCGGAAAATCTGAAAATTCTCGCCGGAATACAAGAACCCAATAAAGGAAATTTGAAGAAAGAAAGAAAGGAAAAGGTTAAAGACACAAAGGATTAAAATTTTTTAGCTCTTTCTCAAAGAAATCCATTTTTTGTGAATTCACCGAGATCCCCCGCCGGCGGCCTTCTATATCTCTCTATCTCTAGAATTACGTCACACAAACTTTCTGCGAAATGTAATATCAACTACTAGTCTGGTGGGGGTGGCCTGCACATGTACTGAGATTTTTCTTGGTCTTTGCTTATTTTAGTGTAAATTGTAGCTTCGTCATCTAACTTACTTTATTTGGACATAAACGCCATTTAGTTATGATAAATTCAATTTGGACCTTGTAACTTTGTTATGTACCATGTCTCGCTTTTGTTACGATGTGGGGCTAGAATCTAGATTTAAAACATGCTTGTACGTGAAGGTGTAAATTGAATCATGTTGCATGAAAATAGAATCTTTCGAGCCCAGTGTAACTTTTTATAGGTTAGGTCGTGCCAATGTACACCACACTTTTGAGCTTTTACAAATTTCTTTTTGTATAAATTAAGATGAAGAAATTTTAAGTTTGGGTAAAATATATGAGTTTGAAAGCAAACTGCAAACCAATTGGCGAACATCCGTAGAGACTGTAGAGTTATTGGGTTAGTCGACACTTTGACACCTCTAGTTCAAAAGACGTAAATACTAACAAAGACATAAAGAAAGAAAGTGATAGGAAAAGGTCCAAGATTTTGTTTGTTTCACATTTTGTTATGATTAACATCAATACATATGTACTAAGTTTTGAATACGTTGCAACGTAATAAATATCAAGAGAAATGAAAGAAATTTTGTTAATTTTCATTTTCATTCTTCTCGACTCAAGCATTTTTTTTTTTTGGGTCGAAGTAATTAATAATATTTGTAATCTTTATTATGTTGTCATTTCATTTTTTTAAGTTTGTTATTATAATAAATTCTTGAATAATCAATGACACTTGTGACATTTGAAAGTGATAGTTGTTGTAAAACAATTACATGAACTTGCTTACACATTATATTTGCATTATCATTGTGTATGCGTGGAAATATTTATTAATTAGTCTTATCCTTTATTTGGAGTGTTTTAAAAGGTGTAATGCGTGGCGATGCGTGGAGATCAAATTATGGGCTAGGCGAGGCATAAGCATAAAAAAAACGTAAAATGTGTTTTTTTAATATTATTTTAATTTTTAATCAATTGAAAAATTGTTTAATAATTAAAAATAATACCTGTCAAACATCTAAAATAAATTCATAGAAAATTTATACAATTTCCCAAGTTTTCAACAAAAAGGTAAGTTCCAAATGTAAATATTAAATCGTAAAAAAATGGAAATTTTTAGAAGATTTCCTTTCTTCAAAGCTTTAAGCGACTATTTGAATTTAGAACCGATGAAGTGAAAAAATCAACATTTAAGTTTTAACTTAGAAGAATTGTAAAAATAAATAAATAAATAATAATAATAATAATAATAATAATAATAATAATAATAATAATAATTACGCATAACGGTGCCTGAGCGCGCATTAACGGTCAATGATTGCTAAGGCGTCAAGCCACTTGTCTTGACGTTTCCGTCGAGCATCGCGCATTGGCGATGCGTAGGCGCCACCAATTCGAGCCTTTTAGATTAGTGTTTGTTTACACGTTAAATTTTCTTTCCAATTCTTGTACACAAACAAATGCCCCGAAACGTAATCTAGAAAACTTTAGGAATAAATAGGCCATGATAAGAAAATGTATTTTGGAATTGTAATTTCTGAAAAAATGTGTGATTTAAAAAAGGAATTATTTTCGATTTTCGTATCTTCGAATTGTTGATTAATCGTCAGAGATGGCTTAGAACCAATAGTTCATTATCTATAGAATTATTTTATAAGAGAATTGATGGTTGAAAAAATGAGGGTCAAACATAGACAATTAGATGGGTGAAAGGGATCGAGGAGTCATTATAATTGAAGAATTTCGTAAAAATTCTCAAATTTATTAAACAACACAACTAGTCGAAAAAATGATTCCACACTTGTTTGTCTCTTTCAAAATATTTTCATCTCATGCAATTGCAAATTTTTCTATGTTTAAATTTCACCATTATTCTCGAATTAGTAAAACGATGTATAAAACCTGCTCACTTGAAACAAGACAAAATTCTATAATATGCGTACTTATAACCATATTGTTTAGGTATTTTTTTTTTACCTCCTAAGTGAACCGTGCCACTTTTTCTCGCATGCCCAAATCACTTAGACTGGCTAAGACAGTAGAGAGAAAACTGGGAAAATACCTCTTACGTCGAAAAAGCCAGAGAGCTCCTAGTGCATACTGAGATCTTCAAGGTGTCTCTTCTACCAAGGAGGTTAGTGATTTCTTCCAATATTTTTTGGCCTATTTGACATAACTTCTATTTTTGCTTTTGCTTTTCCTAAAAAAGCTTTGGATGAAGGTATTTTAAGCCCTTATTTGAATCATATTATTTTCATAAGAATGTATTTTTGAATAATGTATTGATGAGAAATGTATGATTAAAAAATAAGAAAAAATTTTGAATTTGAGTGTAATATTATTTTACTGAATAATGTATGATTGAAATGATGTCAATACCATTTAATAATATGTTTTTTTAAAGAATGTGGCTCAAACATGACCTAATTTTTATTTGGAAACTAATTTTGGAAAAAACCTCCTATTTTAGGAGTACTTTTAGAGAAAATTACATTAAATCAGCTTCCTCCAAAAGCTTTTACAACTAAAAGAGGCACTTTCATTCAATTAGTCATATAAGCCTAAAAACAGTTAACTTTTCAAAAATCATTCCAATCAGACTCTCTCTATTAGGAAAGTGAAGAGTTATGTTTCAAGAGTTTAGTAACTTTTAGTTTTTAAAATTGAAACATGGGGTCAAAAATGGGTTATTAGTACAAAATGACTCTATGTTTAATTTTTATTTTTATTTTTATTTTTTGGTTGCATTCTTACCCTCCTATTTCCATTTTTCATTACGAAAATCATCATTTTCACTCAATCACTCGATATGAAATGATGAATATACCTCCATATTTAAATATATATAAAAAAAAGAGAATTAATTTCAACCGTTACTTGCATTTGATTGAATTTTTTTCTCCAACCGGACCAAAAGACTCATTGTGAGATGGGTTTTGAGTCTTTTGGTGGGGAGAAAAAATGGGTATAGAATCTTGATGAAAAGCGGTTGTAGTATGGGAAAGAAGAGAAGCCATGAAGTGAAATCAAGAATCCTGAAACAGATAACCTATGGCGCGGGTTTGTGTTTGCTAAGGACCCGTTTTGAGTCCTCGATTTCCATGCAGTCCGGATCCAGGCCCTCAATCAATGGTTTCAGAGTCTCCCCCACTGTTTTCAGACTCCCAGATCTCTAGATCTTAGAACTAACGACGCAGGATTAATCTTGTTCGTTCGAAGCATACCCGAAATCTTTGAGCGTGACCTTGATGGAGATAAATCCTGTACAACGCCCTCCTTTCCTATCCTACATATATAAAAAAGCGGAGCATTGGTGTAACGATCCGGGTATCTGTACCCAAACCGTTAGCTTACGTACTGTCCGTTTTGGATGGACCTTGCGTCCACTTACCCCTCACGACTTTCTGTCGCGTCCCCCATGATTCGAACTCATAACCTTTCCCTTAAGTAAGACTTAAGTTAAAAGCCCCTCATGACTTTCTGTTGCGTCCCCCATGATTCGAACTTATAACATTTCCCTTAAGTAAGACTTAAGTTGAAAGCGCCCACCCAAAACGGACAGTATGTAAATTAACGACTTGAGTGCAGAGACTCAGGTCATTACAAAAAAATGCGCATTCCAATTATTACCAGGATTCAATTTAAGTCTTACTTAAAGAAGAGGTTATAAGTTCGAAAGGATTCAACTTAAATCTTACTTAAGGGAAATGTTATAAGTTCGAATCTTAGGGGACGCGACAGAAAGCCGTGAGGGGTGAGTAGGCGCAAGGTCCACCCAAAGCAGACAATATGTAAGCTAACGACTTGGGTGCAGAGACCCGAGACATTACCAAAAAACGCGCATTCCAATTGATACCAGGATTCAACTTAAGTCTTACTTAAGGGAGAGGTTATGAATTCGAATCCTTGGGGACGCGACAGAAAGCCGTGAGGGGTAAATGGGCGCAAGGCCCGTCCAAAGCGGACAGTACGTAAACTAATGGTTTGGATACAGAGACCCGGATCGTTACAATTGATGGGTTACACGTCAATCATATATTATGTCTTGTACTTTTTTTATTTATTATTGTTTCTGGCTTGAACCATATAGTTTCTCCATCATTTTTGGCTAGCCCATTCCTCTGCTATTGATTGTGTAAGAAGGCATGGTTTCTCTCTCTACCTTGACAATTGCAATTTGTAAAGTTTTCTATTTCCATACGGTTGGAGTTCATCGAAATTTTAGCGACATTCATTTGCATGCTTCAACTTCAGCTTCAAGGTAATGTAATTGATTAATTTTATGAAATGGGCATAATGTCGAACTCATACAATCCATTTCTCTCTTCAATTGTTAAGATTTGTCTTTAATGGTGGATTGAAGTAGTTTGATTTGTAGTTCTAATTTATTGTTGTCAAAGTATTTGATCAATTGCCTGAGTGTACCTTCAAACCGATTTTGATAATATGCACTAGAATTAAAGTTCATTTTGTTTATAGATTGTTTTATCCTACATATATAAAAGAGCGGAGCATTGACAGGACACACGTCAGTTATATTTCGTCTTGTACTTTTTTATTTATTTATTATTGCTTCTGGCTTGAACCATACAGTTTCTCCATCATTTTCGGCTAGCCCATTCCTCTGCTATTGATTGTGTAATAAAGCATGGTTTCTCTGGTTCATCTCCTAATTCATCGAGTTCTTCTCTGATTCTCTACCTTAACAATTGCAATTTGTAAAGTTTTCCATTTTCATACGGTTGGAGATTCATCGAAATTTTAGCAACATTATTTGCCTGCTTCAACTTCGGCTTCAAGGTAATGTAATTGATTAATTTTAGGAAATGGGTGTAATGTCGAACTCATACAATCCATTCCTCTCTTTAATTGTTAAGATTTGTCTTTAATGACAGAATGAAGTAGTTTGGTTTGTAGTTCTAATTGATTGTTGTCAAAGTATTTGATTAATTGCC